GGGCTCACGGTTTTGGAGGCCTCAGTCCACACACAGTTCCTCAGTTCCTTTTCCTCAGGGCTCAAGTGACATCATGGCAGAAGAGTGTGGTGGAAGAAAGCAGCTCAAGACATCACACCAGGAAGCAGAGAGAGTTCCACTCAGCAAGGACAAAATAGAGCTTTTGGGGGACACCTCGTATCTAAACCAGAACAGAGTGAGTCATACAGTATGTGACCTTTTGATTCTGGCTTCTTTCACTTAGAGATTCATGCAATATTTCCATGTCTCCCCATAGTTTGTTCCTCTTCACTGCTGAGTGGTATTCCATTGGATGGATACACTGTTTGCTGAACCATCCAACCAGTTGAAGGACATCTGAATTCTTTTCAGTTTTTAGCAATTATGAATAATCTTGCTACTGGCTTCTGTGTAACCATGTTTTCACTGCTGTTTGGTAAATATGAGGGAGTGGGATTACTGAGTCATAGGCTAACTGCATGTACTTTATATGAAATTTGCCAAAATCTTTTCCAGATCGGCTATACCATCTTACATTCCTACCGGCAATGCCCCCTCACCAGCGCTGCTCAGAGGATTTCTTTCAAGATGTTCTAATAGTTGTGTAGCGTGTTTCGTTGCTGTTTCAATTTGCATTACCTAATGACTAGATGTTGAGTGTTTCTTCTTAGATAAGAACATCTTTTAAGATCTGCCCATTTTGTAAACAGTTTTGTTTTATTGTTTTTGAATGTTCTCTCTGATAAGTGGATGCTGATCCATAATGGGGGGAGGTATGGGAAAAAATGGAAGAACTTTGATGGGGAAAAGGGGAGGGAGAGGAGGGGAGTGGGTATGGGGACAGAAAAGATGGTGGAATGTGATGGACATCATTACCCTAGGTACATGTATGACTGCACAGAGGGTGCGACGCTACATCGTTGTACAATCAGAGAAATGAAAAGTTTTGCTGCAATTGTGTACAATGAATCAAAATGCATTCTGCTGTCATATATACCTAATTAAAATAAATAAATACACTTATTTAAAAACAGTAAAAAATGAATGTTGATGACTTCAAATATATGCTGGATGTAAATGTTTCATCAAGTGAGATTTACAAATATTTTTTCCCAGTCTGATTTGTATTTTTATCTTAACAGTATCTTTCTCAGAGAAAAAGTGTCAATTTTGATGAAGTCTCACTTATTGATTTTTTTTTCCTTTTATGGACTGAGGCATCATATCTTGGAACTCTTCCTTAATCTAATGTAAAAAATATTCTCTCTTAAGCTTTCTTTTAAAGACTTTATAGTTTTACATTTATGTCTAGGATATATTGARTTAACTTTTTTATAATCTGTGAGGTATCAATCAATGCTCATTTTTTTTACAAATGGGTGTTCAATTGTTCTAGCACCATTTAGTGAATCACCTTTGCAACTTTCTCAAAAATCAACTGATCATTGTCATATGGATCTATTTTTGGACTCTACTTTGTTCTATCTATTTCCATACATCTATCTTTCTGCTTGATTATTAGCTTTATAGTAAGTTTAAAATAAGTACTGTGGTGAGTCCTCCAACTTTCTATTTTTTAAAATTGTTTTACCTGTTGAAGTTCTTTCTCTTTTCGTATAAATTTTAGAGTCAGCTTGCCAGTAACTCCTAGAAATCCTGCTGGGATTTTGATTGCTTCAYATTTACCCATTTCCTCCCCACTACCCATAGGTTATTTCAAAGAAAACATCTCACACACTATTTTTATTTCAATCCTATAGAGTTGGCTTCTTCCTAAATAAAAAAAAAATCTGAACCTTCATGGAAATAAAGAAACGATTACACTATTACAGTGTGGGGTTATATATCAGTAGTACAGCATGTACCTAGCATATCCAAAGCCCTAGGTTTGATTCTCACATCTGAAAAATAAAACAAAAAAGAAAAAGAAAAAAGTTACTGATTGATATTCCTACAACAAAGTATCAAACTAACTGTATCCCTGACTTTCATAGCTGACTTGAAAACTGCACTATACCTACATGTACTAACACACCATTTGCAGCTCAATTTGGTGAGAATTAACATTTTAGCAACATGGAGTTTTTCAAWCCATAAACATGGTATATCTCTCCATGTATTTAGGTCTTTTTAATTTCTTTAAATAATTATTTGTATCTTTCAGTATACAAATCCTGCATATATTTTAGTTACATATATACCTAAGTATTTTAAATTTTTGATGCTATTACATATGGTACTTTTCAAGATTTCAATTTTTCAAATGTTCATTGCTAGTATATAGAAAYATAACTGATTTTTATATTATGATTTAATATTTTATGAATATGCTAAACTTAACAGTTMTGGATACTCTGTATATTTTTGATAATCAGGTCATCTGCAAATACAGTTTTATCTCTTCTTTCTATCTCAATGCCTTTAATTTATTTTTCTTGCCTTATTGCACTGGCTGGGTKCCATGTTAGTTTTTATGGTTTCTTGGAACTTCTAGATATTTTCAAACCATACACATCATATTTTATAGTATGTATTTGAAAATTCTGACAYCTGATGCTTTTATCATATTAGTTTTCTTGTTCCTGCTATGTATTAGTTTGCTAAGGTAGCTGTACAAAGTACCACAAACTGGGTGACTTAACAGAAACAAATTGTCTCATGGTTCTGGAGCTGAAAAGCCAAAATCAAGGTGGTACTGGCATGTTTGGTTGCTTCTGAGGGCTGTGATGGCACATCTGCACCACTTCTGTTAATTAATTTCTAGTAGTATGCTGGCGATCTTTGGTGTTTGTTAGCTTGTAGATGCATCACCCCAATCTTTGCCTTCATGTGCACATTACACTCTCAYCATGTACATGTCTGTGTTCAAATTTCCCCTTTTTATTTGGACATTATTCATACTGAATTAGGAACCCACCCTGTTTCAGGATGACCACATCTTAACTAAATACCTAATAAGGTTACATACTGGGCACTTCAGCATGTTGATTCGAGGAGGCCGGATTCAACCCACAGCATGTTGGTTCTTGTTCAWGGTGCCCTGTTGCCTATACACCTGGTCATCGCTAACTATATGCTTGTCCTAGGACTGAAAGTATTATGTTCTGTTATAATTTGAAGCCTAGACAGAAGACACTTTCCTTTACAGAAGATTTCTTCTGCAAAGCACCYGGGTTTCTTCCTGGTCTAGGAGTACCATTAACCAAGTTCAAAAGCAGAGTGATGCAAACTCAAGCTGCAAATCCACAACAGGATTGGTTTAACCATGGTTCACAGATTTTGTGCTCCTTGGGCTCCCAGCTTATTGTAAGGATGGTCTTCTATTAGAGGGTCCACCTTGTATGGGGGCTGCACTTTGTCTTCTGACCCCCCTCTCTTATATCCCACCCTATGTAGGCAGGATAGTGAAATTCAAAATTTCCAAGACTGATTAATAAGTTCTGAGAGCAAAAGTGCTCATTTATCTTTCTGGGTTACCATTTTTCTTTTAATTCTGGCCTCATTATTTCTTACTTTTAAAAACAACATGAATAATGTTCTTATCTATATTTWWAAAWTTTTKTKTKTGTGTGTGTATATGTGGTGCTGGGGGTTGAACCCAGAGCTTTGTGCATGTGAGGCAAGCACTCTACCAACTGAGCTATATCCCCAGCCCTATATTTTTAAATTATGGGTGGAAAGGAATGTTCTTACTACCTTAAGCTCATTATTATTATTTTAATATTTTTTAGTTGTAGGTGGACACAATACCTTTATTATTTATTTTTMTATGGTGCCTCATGCATGCTCAGCAAGTGCTCTACCACTGAACCACAACCCTGTCCTCAAGCTCATCACTATTTGAAAATAAAAGAATAGTTAGTTTCTCCCCTTCTTTTGTAAAATTGATTCTTCATGGTGAGCTCTGTAAGTATTCAATACTAGCATTTATTGATAAGTTTCAGGATAATGACATGTTACTTATGGTATTAATGATACTTATTCAAATGCTATTATTGAAAATAAGGACTAATTCAATCATATGAGAAAATTAAAAATTATTATTGAAAATAAGGACTAATTCAATAATATGAGAAAATTAAAAACTCCATTTTTTCCCCCTCAGGGATCATCTTAAAAACTCACCTTATATTTGGGTTTATTTGGTATCTATTAAAACGTGACAGAGAAGAATGGTTCTAATATAGAATAAGAAGTATCTATGTATCATAGAACATGAGATAGAGCTTACTAAAATTAGTAAGCTCTAGCTGATAGGATTTCCTATTACTGGAAGCCATTCTTCCCGCACTATATCAAAGAAAATCACTACTGGTATCTTGACTTTGAAGGACAGGCAGCTGGAGGCCTTTGTTAATGAGATAAGGGGAATACAGATAGTCACCAGGGAAAGGTACATTGTGGGGAGATCTTTGTTTCTTAATGTCAATTTTACAACTCCATCAAGACGTAAATAGCAATATGTGGATAGCAGTGAGCCAATCACATAATTGAATAACTCTTGGAAGGTGCTCTGAGATGATGAATCATGGGCCTGGAATTTAGCTCAGGAAAGGCCATAATAAACACATCCTGGAGGAGAATAAAAATCACAAGAGAGGGATCAAAGGCTTTCTCTTGATGAGATTATTTTTGCTGGATGATGAGGCCATCTGGGCTTTGCAAAGGCTCCTACAGATACCTTTAGATAATTTTAGGTGACAAATAATTCCCTTTGGGCCCCTTTCTTTTGCTTTTAAGTCAAACAGGGGGACATATTCACTTCCAGGAAGAGGAAAATGACATGAAAAGCCCCGATGTTTGACAGAGACACGAGGGAACACTGCTCCAAGTTTCCTCAGACAATGTGGACGTGCTCCTAGTCAGCGTGGGGACCRAAGGACGTCTGAGCACACGGGGGACTGGCTGCTCTCTCTCACACACAGCCCCGTCTTCAATTGGCTCCTTCCCTTGCCCCAGCACCAAGCAAGGGCCCTTCGCAGGGGAAGCCAGGGCCTTACCTGTGCTGTCCTCCCCGAGGCCTTCTGCAGACTCCCGAAGCTTGATGTCCATGACCCTCGTGGAAATCATGTCCAGCTCACTGAAATCAGACAGAAATTTGTGTTAAAGGAACATATTGAGCAGAAGTTACCAATGAACGTAAAGGGAGTGGTGATTGCTCTTGCCCATGGCCTTGCCCGTACACACCCCTACAAAGAGCGCGCACAGGGCAGAGGGCAGTGCAGGCYCCAAACACGCTCACAGCCACGAGATAAGTCACCACATAAGTGTGTCTCTAATTGCTGACCTGAGCAGTTTAATGGAAAACATAACTGAAACAAACGCGTCCCTCATTTACACAATACAGGCTAAGATCCTTCCTTTAAAAAGTGTCTTTGCTCCCATTTTGAGAAGTTATGTTCTTCTTCACGTTTCCTGTAAGGAGTCTGGAAAACAGAATGGAGCTCACACATAATCCCACCAACCAAGGGTAACCACAATTAATGTTTTAATCTCCCTCCAATGTTTATTTTTACACAAATATTTTATGTACGTGCACACACTAGGACGTTGGGCTTCCTGATTTTCTTACTTATATCATCTTAAAAATTCTTGATAAGGGTTATTTTCATGGCTGCATACAGATGATGAAGTTAACAGAGGGCCAACCCCTGCTTCATCTTTACCCCAGCAGCCCCTCTCATGAGATTGATTGAAGCAAATCACACCAGACATTATTATCATTTCATCCATATGGATTTGGCATCTTCCTAAAAAAAATAAYAATAAAACCCTCTGACTCTTCATGGAAATCAAACCAACACTTACCAGACCATATTCCTGCTGCAGAGTACTGAGCTACTGGGCTTGTCTCCTACGGTTGACCTTGAGACAGTGCACTGTCCCTCTAAATACTGACTCGTCATTTATCTGGACACCTATTTCTAACCAGGAAAGACTGGATCATCACGCTTAAAACAARAGGTTCAGCTACTGAACCAGTTCACACCTACAACTTGAACATGGAACAAAATGTAAAATGATGAGAGAAATACAAAGAAAATACTCAGTAGAGGAAACAGACGCAAGAGCCTGCGCACCAGAATTGGTGCTAACATTTATGTCTCCTTTAATGTCAATGTCAAAGTGTCTGCTCTCCCTCCTAGACAATTCCTTAAAAGCTGAACAAAGCTTCACCAGCTTCGGCTCTCAATTTTCATRTGATCTGGCTTCATAAAAACGCCTGGTATCATGTCAGCTCTGCCAGAAGCTCTCTTGGAACCTCACCATCTGACTCATGATCATGCTCTCATTATGTATAAAAGGAGGGTGGGACAGAAATAGTCCTTTTTCAAATCCTTGACCACTGTTTTTAGGCTTTAAAGAAGAGCCTTGTTTTCACTGTGTTCATTATCAAAGTGACAGAGAGTGCAAACAGCAGCATCATTACAAGGGTCACAGTTGTGACCTGACACAAAGACCGTAGCTCCTGTAAGATGTCAGAGTCAGTCAGTAGCCCCCTGATGTCCGAGTGTCTTGCTGCTCGGTGATACTGTTTCTTGGAGGAGTGGGTGGCTGTCGGGGCATTCAGAGCAGAAGATGATGGAGAAGGAAACCCCAGGAGCAGGAAGGAGAGTGAAGACAGTGAGGGTTGGTTAAGAGTCACCAGCTACGACCCTGGATACCATCTGCCAAGGTTGCCACTGAGCTAGAAAGCAAAAGTGCAAGGGCCTTCCGCTGCTTAAATTTGGAGTTAACCACAATGACAGCTGATTTATGMAAATGACTTATTGAGCATGCAACACTGTTATCTGAATCATCTCATTTGATCCCCGAGGGCTTTGAGGGTTCACACTCTGGAGATGAGAACATACACCATGGTAGATAGTTGATTAACCTGGCCAAGGTAGTGAAGAAGACTACCGGAAGGCTCATGTTGACTGTGTCCCCAGCACAGGCAGGTGCACAGCAACAGATGAGACCCAGCTCCTGCAGGTGCTGCCCTAGTAAAGGAGAGATCCTAAGTGTCTCCAGAGGAGCTCAAGAGAAGCAGGGAAATCCAAGAGACAGAATCTCCCACTGAAATGGCTCTGCTTGCCAAGTCCAGGGTCAGGTCAGAATTGAGGGTTCAGGGAGGCCCTGGGAGACCATCCACTGGGTCTGACAGGGTATCTCAGTCTGAGGGAAGGGGTTTGAGTCTGTCATGATGTGTCAACGAACAGGGAAAGGGTAACTCGGGAGAAACCATGATGCCATCTGCAAAATGTCCAGTCACCTCTGGCAAATAAAACAGCTGAGATTGGGAAGGTAGTGGTGATGTGCAGGGGWGTGTGACAGGTGTGCATGGCCCTCCCTGGCCGAGTATGTGGAGAGCACCCCATTTCCATCCCACCAGCCTAGAGCACGCCAGACTTGCTTCTCCCTGAGTTGAATGACGTGGCTGTGATAAAGTCACACAGGGCAGAGGGCTCGGGAGCAGGTAGGGGACAGGGGGAGGTCGAGGGGGCCTAGTCTCCCCTATGTGGATCCTTCCACCCTCTTCAAGCAGGCTGTCACCAGCAGATGCCACGGTGGCCGGCAGATTCACAGAAGCAAAAGCCACCCATAAATGAAAGACAGCAAGTGGGGTTCAGCTCACAGGGCAAGTTTCAGTACCTGCTCATGTTTCCTGTTCCAAACATTTTCATGCTCATACACACATATGGTTTGGGTGTGAGGTGTCCCCCAGAAGCTCACAGGTGAGACAAAGCAAGAAGGTTCAGAGGAGAAATGATGGGGTTGTGAGGGTCTTGACCCCATCAGTGAATTCATCCCCTGATAGGGATTAACTGGGTGGCAACTGAAGGGGTGGGTGTGGCCGGAGGAGGTGGGCTTTGGGGTAGAGATTTGTACCTGGCAGTGGGGTCTCTCTCTCTGCTCTCTGCTCACCATGTGAGCTGCTTCCCTCGGCCACACTCTTCCACCATGATGGTCAGCCTCCACTGGAGCCCCAAGGAATGCAGCCAGCCTCYCAGGAACTGAGACCTTGGAAACTGTGAGCCCTCGAGTAAACTCTTCTTCCCTAAAATTGTTCTGGTCASATCTTTTATTCACAGCAGMGAAAAAGCTGACTAAAACATACCATAATAATATGCAGAGGAACCGCACAAAGACCTGGATGTCAGGATGTCCCCGACATCTACCACTGCTGGGGCCCAGTCCCCTCATGTATAAGAGGCAGATAATGACATCTGAATTCAATGGGACCAAAACACAGCACATGGTCCTGCGTGGACCACTGTGGCTCACTCTTCCCAGATGTTCCTGTCCAGGGACAAAGGCATCACCAGAACACAGGACTGACCAGGCTGGCAGCAGGTGAGTGTCTGTTAATAACACAGTCTGCCTGTGCACAGGGTCCGCTTTAAAGCCACCCCAAGTCACAGCACTGTTGACCCCGGACGGAGCCTCCTTATCCTGGCAGCGTGACAGACCCACACCACTTCTGGGTAACTGATAAAAACATACTCAAGAGGAAGCTCTGCCCTGTGACACTTCAGGGTGCAGAGACAGAAAAGGTCCTTTTCAACGTGGGCCTGCCAGGTGCAAGTGCCCATGGCAGTGGCAAGGGAACACCACCTCCGTTTTACCCTTCTGAATGCAYGTGCCCTGGACCCCAGGAAAAGTCATGGACAAGCGAGAAGGAAAACCAGAATCAGAAAGCAAGATGGCAAGGAGCCAAGACCTTTCAGCCCTCCTTTGGCTGCTCCGTCAAGACAGTGCCTCTCATGGGAACTCGAGGTTCAAGTCAGGCCCCCCTCTCTGCCCCTCAAATAGCATCTGCCCTCCGCCCTCCTGCCCCTGTWGTTCTGACAGCTCTCCGCACCCCAAAAGGAAAACTTCTTTCTTTCAACTCAGCCTGGACGTGAGAGCTCTCTTTGGAGGTTCTGATTAACTCCCAAGGATGCTGAGCCCCCTCCAGGCTCCTTTGAAGTGCATGTTCATGTAGCACATTCAGTGTGCAGGTGGGTACCCACAGAACCCAGAGGAGTCTCCATGTGGGGGCCGCCCCATTCCCTCTCTGTCCACAGGGCCTCCCCAGCTTAGAGCAGAGCTTCTACAGAAAAGCCCTACAAAAGTGGGTYCCCATGAAGAATGAGAATAGATCTTAATATGGTGTTTTAAAGACTCCAAGCCACTATATTTACCTACACAATGCAAAGAAAAATACCTGTACGCTAGCTCCACACATCCAAGCGTGGCAATTACGGATGAAAGCTTTGCAGTCCACCCTCCAGGTGGCCCAATTCTGCAGCCTCCTTCGGAGCTCTGTTCAGAGCCCTGTGGATTCTTTCATAACCTTCTCTACCTTTCCTCCCAAACCTGTCATCAAGAGCCTGGGCAGGCAGCTGCAAAAGCTCCTCTCCCTCCCAAGACTGTGGGCTTCCTGGCTGACTATGCCTGTTAGCATCTCTATCTTCCCAGTGCCTAGGACAGTCTCCAAACAAAGGGCCAGAACCCAACACACAAGCAAGACAACTGGTGAATGGAAGGGCTTCTGGGTATTGTGCCCTTGGAGATTTTTGGTTGTATTATGTAGGTATTTTGCTTTTGTGGTGCTGGGCTTGACATGAGCATGAGAGCCAAGTCCTCTGACACTGAATCACACCCACAAACCTCCTTTGAGATTTTTGAATACCAATTCATCTAACTTCTCTTTCTGGAGAAAAGTCCARAAAGAGTCACCTTTAGGTCCTCTTTCCCTTATCCAGAGGAGGTGATCTACCCTGCGTAAGGTCAGCCTTAGGGAAGACTAGGTTTTAACATAAGCCCACTGAGGGCTGAGGCTATAGCTCAGTGGCAGAGTACTTGCCTAGCACATGTGAGGCACTGGGTTTGATCCTTAGCACCACATGAAAATCAACAAATAAAATAGAGGCTTTCTGTCCATCTACAAATACGATAATATATTTTTTAAATAAAAAGAACTGTAAAAGCCTWCTTAAATGTGGTGTCCTTTCCAGCCTTCCTGCCTCCCCCTCTTCCACAGGAGGCTTCTGCTTCTGTCCTGCATCACCTTCTCCTTGGTCTCCACACTCACCATCTTTTAG